GCTGACATCGTAATATAATACACTATATAATATATATTATTATAGGAGCAGTTTATTCAATATTGATTTAAAACATAATATAATAATTATGAAAATCAAGTTTATCGCTGAGTATACACAAATGTGACTTAAGCACACGATGTTTATTTTCGCGTCATTTTTTATTTCACACGTAGGTTGTTACCAATTAATAGAAAGTCTGTGCACTATTTTTGTTTTCTCTCTCTTGCTCACATGCAACATAACAATTTATAACAGTTATATTAGCCGCAATATTAAAGTTCATTGGCCTATTATAAGAATTAAAGGTAAGAATCTAAGGCATCTCGTAGGCTTTTATTGATATTTTAACTTTGTAAAATGTTAAAATGCTCATAACTCATTTCAAAACTAAAATATCAAAAACCTAATGAGGTGCTCTAGATTAAATTTTTTTTAATGTAAGTTAGATTACGTGTTAAGAACACAAAATTGAATCTTTTAAACCCAAATGTGTTATGTTGTACCATGGATCAGTTGATCAGTGTGAGAAAACTAATTGTGCACTAAGATCAGCTTAACATGACTGCAATCGTGTATGGACATGCATTAATTACGACATCATAATTATATTTTTAGATATCATATTAATAATTAAAATAATGTATTATGCACATAAAATTAATTCGTTAAATTGATAAAAATGGAAAAAACAACCTGTCGTCTCTACGCTAGATGTCTAATAGGATTACGTACTCACACATAGCTAGTATTTACATAATATATACATACACATAATATGTGACAACGTATATTGTCTTCGTAGGCCGCAGAAATGAAATATTATCTACAACTACTTTTTCTGATGATTTTTGAGACGCGATTCTCATAATTTACTCATACCCATTAACTACACTTATAATATTATAGTACTACTACAACTATACAAATAGAAAAAAACCCATAGGAACACGTACATCGATAATTTATTACCTTTATTATTAACGTCAACTGCGTAGAAGGGGTATGGCGTATGAAACGTGCAGCATAGGTATACGCGATACGATAATAATAATCATAATACTATTGTAAGTTGTAACTTCTCAACAACTAGTGTATTTCCCGTGTTCGCGACGTAGTGTTTTCCACGCGGTCTCCGTAGACTTTAACGATTTCGCCAATACGCGCAGTATTGTTTTCGCGTCTGTTTTTGTTTTCACTGTTTTTTCAAATCAAATATTCTAGTCTGCACATCATAATCTGAATACAATAAAATAGAATATATAAATATATATAATCTGAAACGGTTCGGCAGGTAATATATTTATTATTATTGTTATTGTATTAAGTACCTATCCGTTGAAATTTATGTTAATGAATTGATTTTACGGGATTTATATTATAACAATATTATATGCGTACGCTGGAAACATAATATAACGTTGCGTATTATTAATAAAATTTTTAAGTATAAACATAATTTATTACATACATACTAAATTAGTATGATCATACACATTATTATACTAATGGTTTAATATCAATTGCTTCTGTTACACGAACGAAAATATTATATATTAGTAATATTATTTATACAAAATATTTCACGATGCGAATAACGTACATGACGGTAAGCCAGTAAACACATGTTTTTATTCAAAATTAATTTCATAAATACTTTAATCTCGTGTCTATATAATATTAATTAGTAATAAAAAAATTACTTAGGTTTGGGATTCGAATGCATCTACATTCTGCATATTTTTTTCTAATAAATCATACTATACTAATATTCATGTATATTTATTATAGTACGTTATTTCAATGCAATAATAATAAATAATAATAATAATTATAGTGAATACGAATACCTAACAAACGTTTTAAAATATTTTTTACAGAAAAACCCAGATAAGTATATAATTCAGATTAAAAATAATTCTAGGTTTGATAGTATATTTTTATATTTTTTATTGAAATACTTCATTTAATTTGCGTGAATATTTTGGTGATTTAATACAAAACGTGAGTAAACTGCATGTAAACTATGCAAACCAGTAAACATGAGCATTATTCTACTTTTGTCGAGAATACATAAATAGATGCATGATATTATATAATTTACATGTAATTTACATATTGTATAATATATTAACATACCTATACTAATCAAATATTGTTGGATATTTTATAATAATAACTTTATTATGTTAAATTGATAATAAATAATTATGCATTATATGAAGAATGAGACAAACAGTAAAGCAATTAAAAGAAAAAACATTTTTCTATGTAATCGAAGCACGTGAGAGTAGCTTGAAAGTAAAAATAGAATAAAATCATTTAAATGCATAATACGTCGGCCGGTGCCTTGCAAATAATAAATAAATTATAAATTATAACTTTTATCTGTTTAACTTGCTTAATGGATAAAATAAATTAAAAATGTTTAGAGAATTTATAAAATTTCATTTTAAGGTTCACAGTGAATTACCGTAATTTTTCTTTTGTGATTATTCATAAAATGAGTCGGTAAGGTACATAGGTAATAGGTACATCTTATCTTAAAGTTATCTTAAAAGCTCTGAACAAATTATATATTGTTTTACTATACAAGAAAATATATCATTATATCTGCAAGTGATTAAATGTTTAGTTTTTTAGGTACTTAATTAATGTATTAACTGTTAACGTAAATTTATTGTTAATTTATTAGTTCAATGATAAATAGTTCATACACATGTATAAATTTGTAATCTATGAAAAAAAATGGTCAATGTTTAAAAAAAATGTCTTATTATTAGTATGTGTTATATACATTATGTATATGAGCAAGTACCTATATATTTAAAATAATATTAGATAAAATGGACTGCATCATGTTTTTCTATAGGCATTTTTTAATACTTGAAACTAACAGTAAATATTATTTACCTGCAGTATAATTTTTTTTATAAATGGAACTTTTTACATCTGAACTCGACAATAACAACAAAAATACCACTTTTCAATCTATTTATCTCGACCCACAAAAATATATTGGACGTATCTACCTGTTGCTGTATAGCTAGTATCTGTAGGCGCATTACTTTTTTTTTTCGTGTAATATTCAATAAATCAACTGTACAAGTAGAACGAATCGATTATATCAGTTTACAGATACGTACGCACCGTTTCACTTATACACTATGCGTGTATCCCGCTAAAAAGCAAGTAGTCATAAGTATTACGCAAATGCGTAAATTAGTGAATTTGGTAATATTTCCAGTTACGACACACTCAAACTAATTGTACGTAATGAATAATAGTAGCTATAATATAATAATAAAGTGTCTAAAAACTTGATACGTTTACGTTCAATGCATATGCACCGAGCCCAATAATAATAATAACCAAGGTCACGTGGTATAATTAAACCACCTATACCCACTTTATTACATTTAAATTGATATTGTGATACCGTATCGATTACGATGTAAATAGATCAATTTCGAAAATGAGAACATGACAAATTTTAAAATCTATATAATATAATATTATAGCACACGTTTATATATATATATCATATTATATTATTAAATATTATTATTACTTGTGAATAAACATGGAATACATTCAACAGTTCAAATCTACAATAATATTCTTAGCTCTCGTTGATTCCATACCAAAATAAATATTTGATCCGTTGAAAATCTTGCGACAATCTATTTGAGACAAAAACAATGAATTTCAGTATACCGCATGTATAATTTTAAGTAAAATTTTAGTAACTATTATAAACTTAGCTTGTTTATTCCCGAGCATCGTCGAATTATTATACCGTACATTTATATTTCTCAATACTTTATTTATCTTCGTATGTTGATAATGTTTTTTAATATTTTGAGATGACAAAAAATTGATGTAGCCAAGGCTGTAAGAGACAATCGATAACATCAATTTTTTAAACTAATTGTATTATTTTTTTTTTATATCATATAATTTTCAATAGTTCGTTTTTTTTTTTTTTGCTTCTAGATACTTAAAAACTTAAGTATTGATTTTTTTAATAACTCAAAGTTTTCCTTAAATCTTTCTCTACAACGTTTAAATCTTTGATTAATATCAATACCTAGTTACCCGTTAATTACACGCGTACAATAATCGATGGCTGCAGCCCATAAGCGCAAAACATAACCCGAACGCAATTCAAAAGCACAAAACCACTACCTTTTTAACAAATCATAAACGTAAATAAATTTTACTAATTCAAATGTATTTTATTAAAATCATAGTCATAATATAGCCATTACTCATTATCAATAATTGAACTTTAAAAGTAATATTAAAATGAGTTTAAAAATACAAAATAAAAATGAGAATTTTGAGTTATTTTAAATTTATAAGTAGAATAAGACCTTAGAATGAAATTTAAAATTTTAAACCCGCAGTTATAAAGTAGCTCAATCTGGAATTTTCTTTTTTAGTTCGTAAAATGGGTACGATACAACTTCAACTGAATTTCATCTCTTCTGCTTTCGAAGCATAAAAATACTGTGTACTTGAGAATGTTCCGAAAAATAAATTAAAAACACAAATACGTACTACAGTTTTAAATCAAGTGTGGGTTCACGATGAAATGCCTATACACACTCGAATATCGTTTAGATTTTATTCATTATAATTTATTTAAACGTGTCGACGTTAATTTTGCTACATTAAAATCATTGATAAACGATTTAAACGTTTATCACGTGTAACGTGTTGACAATCGCATTGCCCATCGCAGTGATTCATGTGCCATGGAATCACATAACCGATCTCCCCCACGAAATCACGATGCATAATATATACATAGGTGTGCACCTATATATTAACAACACGATCCCTCCTCGTCGCGAAACGTTATGTAAATTACGGGAAACAGACGATAACTGCAGCGCGGTGCGTATTACTATTATTGTTATTATTATGATAATATAATGGCAATAATATAATATACCAGCGACAGTAAACGACCAGTAGTGCGATGGAAACTGCGAGTCTTCTCGCAGAGGCGGAAATTACAAAAACACAATGAATAATGCACATAAAAGGTCATTAAAATACAAGACGAAACAAAACATGTGTAAGTACTCGTAATTGTTATGTACTCACGAACGATTTTTTGCCTACTATGATGTACCTATAAGTATATCGGCAGTGTTTTATTTTTTCGAGCATTAATATTTTTTTATTTTCATTTTTATTCTTTATATGTCTTTTTTGTATGCTGCGCCAAGGCAATGCTACACTATGCTATAGGTATAATAGGCTCATCGCGATGATCTTAATCGTCTGCCAGTGTCTCTCGGGTAATCATAATAACATATTGTTTTACCGTACATACATAATGTATAAAATATAAAACATTGATCTCTGACCGAGACCTTGGTGCTTCAATTTATGTTTCGGGTGACCGTGGTCGGACGAGCAGCCTGCTTATTACAATATATTATAATATTAATGATAATAAGTATATTGTTCCGACCTCCGCGCGTCGTGTATAATATGCATATTAAAAGCTACACGACACCGATGATTCTAGGGGAACACAGGAGTTTAGACGATTCGGGCGGCGCACGTCTATCTACGCAATGATATATTCTAATCATTGTTATTTGTATATTTTTTTTTTCAGACGATTATTATAACAACGCCGAGGAAAAAAACCAATCTCCATTATAATAATACAATTATTATTATTATTATCAAACGTGATCAACGTGTTTGTTTCTTGCAATTACACCGATTGTTAATGATTTTTCAATGATACAATCGACAATAATATAACATTATGTATCTCAAAGTCAATGTTCCGCCCGTCTTCAAACAGGTAATGTACCGAACTTTACGAAAACTAGTTTAAAATTATGTATCGGCAAATTACTATCTGCGGTTAAGATCGACAAGCATTTCGACGACTCATTATTATTATCTGTGCGCAGTTAGATATTGCGCGTGATGGATATGAAACACAATCACCGAGTATACTTCAGCAAAATTTTGTTAATAATGAATAATGTCCTTAACGGCCCAATACTGTATAGTCGATTAGCTATAAGTTTTAATGTAAGTGGCAGTGGCCGCAACAACTGCCCGTGTAGTATACAAACTATTTGTAGTATGATTAATTATTTATTTGGTTTGAGAAATTTTAACTTTTTCGATAGTCATTGGTTTGAACGACTATAAAAAATCATTCTGTCGTTCGAACATTTTTAAAAGATGCACATAACACGAACATAATTTAATAAGTGTACACAATGATATCAAACTGCTGTCAATAATAACGTGAAGGCAATTAAGTTAATTCACACATTCGAAATTAGTATTTATTTTGTATGATATGCGTATATCGTTGTTTGCTGTTTAGTCATATGACGAAATCCGACAGATTATAATATATCAAACATCAAACACAACAAACATATACATCCTAAGAGCCATTATATTTATGATCCACGTAATGTTTTTTGTAGTAAATTTTAGTTGTTATTTTTATCGGAAAAATCCAACAAATTTATAAGTATGAAAAACTTTATAGGTTATACGTATATACTAATATGACATTTTAATAAGCAAAAATAAATAATATATCGGTTAGTTTATGATCATTAAAAAAACTAGAAATCCTTCACGAAGTTAACTGATCCTTCGGTCTACACTTATGTTTTTCCATACTTCCTGGTTTCGAAAATTATTATATAATATTATAATACTAAGCTCGTGTACAGAATGGAATTCGGGTATTAAAAACTATAGGTATATTACACATAATAAATGTTAATTTTGTTTTATCAAATATGTCTTGTAGCTTTTTATATAGTAAACATTATACCTATTTATACTAGTTATATATACTTACATATAAATATATAATTACAATATAGTACACTATTCCGTGCCTTAATACACAAGGTGATTGTTTTAAAGGTAAACAATAAACACTTATTTCTCGAAATAAATGTTTGTAAATATTATTTTTTTACATAACTAAACGATAACTAAATAAATTTTTTAAAAATAAAATTGCTAAAAAAATTGTAATTGTTATCGTTTTTTAAGTTTTTATTTTTTGGAATGAGAACATATAGATTTTAAATTTTCTATTTCAACACACAATATTTTTTCTGAAAAACGAAATATGCAAGAATACGATTTAAAACGAAATTATAAAAATAATAATTCTTCTACTAGTATATTTTATAATAATATGAATAGTTAAAAATTTTAAAATTATTATACATGTATACTTTTCGAGATAAAATATTTCTACTATCGTTACTGTAAAAACTATTACAAACTAAAGTATTTGTAATGAATATTTTTACGAGTAAACTATAATTGTATATTACGTTGAAATATGCGTAAACGAACATAATATATACCTATTATGACTTAAATCTCGACAGATATTCGCTGCGTCCGGACCTCTGATTGTGACGTTAGGTTCCGGGATGACAGTTGGGTTTTCGGCTGTACTTTTGCCGCAGCTCAAGGACGACCGATCTACCATCAAAATTAGCAGTCATCAAGAGTCTTGGATAGGTAAGCTATATTATAATTATATATTTCAAAACTCATCCCGTACATATAATAGTATATATTTAAACAGAACACCCCTGATACCTGTAAGCAGTAGAATAACTACGTACCTACAGCCCTCTCATTCGAGGAGGGAGTGCCCAAAATTTAAATATACTTAAAAGAACATCAAAAACTAAAAGTATAATCTTTTATAATAATTCAATATTGCAACTATAACAGAACGAGTAGTAACATTAATTATGTATTATTACAAATAATCAATGGTAGTAATACAGTTAGATTAAAGGCACATATGACCGCATACATTAGATACACAAATCATTGTCAAAATGCAAGTATCTAAATAAATTGATTATAATTACGAACTTTCAACTTACAAGTATAAAAGATTTAATTTAAAGTACTTACTACAATAAAGAAATAATATTATGGAACGAATTTTTATAAGTTGTAATAAGTATTATAATATTAATATTAAGATCAAAAATCATATTATTTTTATTATTGTTATATGATATTCCGATCAATACTACCATGGAAATAAAAACATCTTCAAAATAAATAATTGATAAATACATTTATTTCTGCAGTTATATCATTATATCGTCTATTTTTCCTATTAATAGTGTAGCTATTATACTACTAATTTTAAGTATTTTTGTTACTAGGACAGTGACAAAACGTAAGAATTTAAAAATCAAATTTAAAAATTGTTTCTCTGCAGATACAATAAGCAATTATGTGGCTATATAATTGTATCACCCGTGTTTATACAAACTTTATGCCTATATTTAAATCAGATAAATCAAATATTTGCGAGCTTAACATTTTCAAATAAACGAAACGATGAAAAGTGTTTGTTATTGGTACAAAGTTCAATACAATAAACGAAACGTATGCATTAGACTTATTTAAAAATGATTTTTTTACATATTTAAATTTTGAACAATGTATAGTTACAATGATAAGTAGCCAAAGTAAGTACACCAAATTGGGGTTCTCAAGTCCCCAACTTGACCCCAATCTCTTATAATCAGGTCTCAAATCAATGAAGTAACAATATATATAAAATATTGTATATATTATACATGGAGTGCTTTATTATAATTTATAACTGTTGCAACTATTGCAACGACGTGGGCACTGCAGTGTAATTAAATACTACCTGCCGGGTATATACTATATTATTATATATGTGTAGCTATAAGCTGCAAATGGATTAAATGTCCAGTGTAGACCTGTGTTTGCACTAAATACCTACGCGTATTTAATGTCTGGGGAAAAAATCAAAACTAAATCACTCGAACGGAGATGGACTTACGTACAAATCGGTTTAACTGTAGAAATATATCCGTTTTGTAGTGGCCATAAACGTCTGGCGATATTTCCATTTTCAATTCTCTACATCAATTAGTATATAAAATAATAAATATGCATGCGTAGACTCTATATTCAGAGTATGATGCAAAATAAAAAAATTTTACCTTTTTAAAAAAAAAAAAGTTTGTTTTAAATAGGTATACAGATTATTGTTATTAAAAATTAAAATATAAAATGTATAGGTAACTATTCAATAAAAAAATATATTTTTTACATTTTAAACTTATCTATACCTAATTTATTTTCTATGTTCCAATACAATTTTTAGAAAATTAAATTATAAATTAATAAAATAAATACAGAGTTTATTAATATAGCACTACTACCTATAGGTACTAATATTACCAAGTACTAATTAGTAATTAGTAATGATAGATAGCGATTATTTTTTAGAACAACCAGATTTCGCATTTCTGATAACAATATTTTATTTTATTTTTTATTTTTTTTTTATTTCTTAACACTTAAGTGGTAATTTTACCTATTGAACTAATTTTGGAAAAATTCTCCTTTATTGACGGAAATATCTATAATGGCTAGAGCGCGGATTTCTATGCCATTGCATATTTTTTTCCTTTTAATATTTTTGGATTTTTGTCAGTTATCTCCACGAATTATCATAATTTGAAGCTAATGGTGAAATTTTTTTTTGCATATTTCTGCATATTTGAAGGTTATTGCATATTTTTGCATATTTTGACAAAATTCAAAATTTATTGCATATTGAAGCGAAAATTTAAAAAAATGTATAGGATAATGTTTTGTCAAGTAGAATGATTTAAAATTTATATCTATTCATTTGGCATTTTTAGTGATAAAAATAGTCATAAAAAAAACTGGAAACTCGAAATATGACTTTATATCTAAGCTTTTCAATAATTGACGAAACGAAAGAAAAAATGCATTCTATTCCTGGATTGAAAGGTGTAACACTTACAACAAAATTAAACGAGCTTTCCAATAAAAATGAAGGTCTGAAAATTCTACGAAAAATTAATTCAGTGTTATTAAGTGAAAACGTTCATCTTGAAGATCTTTATCAAGATCCGACAATACTAAGTTGCTTCAAATATGCCCCAATAACTTCGGTTGACGTCAAACGTTCGTTCTCAGTCTTTAAAAATATGTTAATCGATAAATGATACAACTTCACAGAAGAAAAACTTGAAATGCATATGATTATTAATTTTAATAATAAATACAATTTTAAAAATAAATTAAGTTTAGAAAATTTCCTAAATTATTTATTATTAAGTATTTAAGTAATTAATTATTATAAGTTTTATTGTAAATTTTAAATAAATAAAAAATTCTTGTATATTTTTGCATATTTTCATAATTTTTACTGCATATTTTCATTATTTTTACTGCATATTATATGCCATATTTCGATACTTTTAAGTGCATAAAAATCCGCGCTTTAATAATGGCCCATAATAATTTTAAAATTTTTATAATTTACAGACTAATTCTTAACTCTAATTTAATAATTTAAAATATATTTATATCATTTGCTAAGTTAATTTTAACTGTGTATAGTATATGAAATGTAGATATAAAAAACTACTAGATAGATATTGGTTATCTATCTAGTAGTTTTTTAATGAAATTAGAATAAGCCAACATGTTGATGTTTGCAATTGTAATATATATATATACATATATGTGTATTATATAATAGCTATATTCATTCTCATTTGTATTTATATTTTTTCTTATTTATTTCTCATTTTTAATTCATCATTTATATCCTTATGCTTAGGTATATTATCTATCGAGATATTTTAAGAACATTACATTGTCAGGACATGGACACCATTTTCTTTCACTGTCCATTTTCCTCCAAAAAAACTAAAAAGAAATCTCAATTATTTTCCTCCGGTAAAAAATTATGAACAAAAATATTATATTATATTTTCAGTAATTATTAAAAATAAAAATTGAATTCAGTTATTAGGTCATCAATTGCTTTTCACTTACAAGCATTATTCAGTTTTATTTGTTTATATTACTACTTGGCAAGTAGTTAAACAGCATCGTTAATGTAATAATCAAGATTCTGATTTTGGCTTATACGCAAAAAATATTTGTAGCTTTCGTTAATTATTAAAGATTATTAAAGGAACATTGTTATAAATATCGCTTTTTTCAAACATGTTAAAAATTAAAACTAAAAGAAATACAACGAAATAACATGATAGCCACTATAGTCGACGCATAGTTTGCTACTAAAAATATAGTGAAATAATATTCGTGTGTCTATTTTATGCAAGCTTGTATTTTAATCATTAACACTAATATAATGATTGATGATAACTTTATGTATACACAAAGTGCGTACGTATATATTATAATCCAATATGTACCTACGTAATACGTATTTTAATTAAGCTTAATCAAACATCAAACCAGTGACGTTACGATGTTATTGACTGTTACTTTAACTTTATAATACGGTACACGTAGCACTACATCACTGCCGATAGTGGTTAAATATTTTAATATTTGGAAAAAAATTGACATAATTTTAGTATAAAAAAAAGTTAAGAGGAAAATGGAATCCAACTTTTGTTTTTGGAGGAAGAAAATGGACAGTGAAGAAAAACAGTATCTCGTTTTTGGAGGAAAATGGATCGTCCCAACGTTCCTATAGAAATGTAAATAGCAGCCAGCCAGCTATCTAATTGTTTTATACGTCCACAATAGTTACTTACTTTATTATCAAATGAAATTTTTTATTCACAAGATCTGAATCTTATGATCTAATCTTAATATTTTGGTATCAAATAAATAAAGAAAGAAAGAGAGAAAATTGAGAATTTATGTAATATTAATAACAGGTTAGGTAAAAGTTATTGTAGTATTCACGGGACAATCAACGAATGTTACGCGCTCGTACAACCTACAGCATCAATTATTCGCAAATTATTCAGCTGTAAAGGCTTAACAAAGAACTAATCAAATGTTTGTGATAGACAATTGAAAGTTTTTTTTTTTTTAAATCTCTTCCCGGATTGTGATTCATTTATTATATATTATCTTAATATAATCGATGCAGCGAAGATTAAAGATTTAATCATCGCTTTCGATGTTTAATACGGCTAAGGTATCATTTATGCATGTATAGGTATATCACACGCAGGGTTATTATATATAATATATTGTAAAGTGTTAGAAAATATAAAAACAACATAGGAACATAATATTTAGGAAATGGTGGTATATAATAGGAGATCGATAAAAATAAACATTAGAACAAGAAAATTAAAAAATAGTCACCCGCTAAATACGACCTCGGTCGATTGCGAACGGAAACGACAATATTATGTTATATCGTGTCGCATATGATCAAAACGTTAAAATATTTATTTTTCCTTTCAGCGCCAGCATGGCGGCGCTACCGATGGCCGTGGGCGGCGTGCTTTGCGAGCGGCTTCATGGACGAGCTGGGCCGAGATCGACCAACCTGCTCATCTGCGTGCCGTTTGTGCTCGGGTGGACGGCCGTATCGATGGCCACCGGCGTGAACGGCGTGTACGCGGGCCGACTGCTCACCGGCCTGTGCACCGGCCTGCTCGGCCCGCCGACGGCCGTATACATCGCCGAGGTGACGGAACAGCGTTACCGGGGCGCCGCGTTGGCCATGATCTCATTCTCCGTGTCGGCCGGTATACTGGCCGTGCACACGATGGGCACGTTCCTTGGCTGGCGGCTGGTGTCGGCCCTGTGCTCGACCGTACCGTTCGCCGGCTACGCGCTCATATGGTTCACGCCCGAGTCGCCGGTCTGGCTGCGCGAGGACGAAGACAGGCGCCGCCGCCGCCGTCAGACCACTGCCGTCGGCGGCGTACCGTCGCGGCCACCGGCGGAAGTGGACACGCAGCAGCCGCCGCCGCCGTCGCCTCCCGCGGAATTGGACGCGCAGCCACCGCCGCTTCCGGCCGCCAAGCCGACGGCGCGTCAGTGCTTCGGCAGACCGTCGTTCCTGGGGCCGCTGGCCGTGCTGTCCGCGTTCTTTTTCGTCCAACAGTTCTCGGGCGTCAACGCGGTGGCCTTCTACTCGGTAACGCTGCTCAAGCGCGTCGGGCCCGACCTCAACGAGTACCACTGCACCATGGCGCTGGACGTCATCCGGCTGGCCGTGTCCGTGCTGGCGTGCGGCCTGACCAAGCGGTACGGCCGCCGGTCGCTGGCCGTCGTGTCGGCCGTGGGCACGTGCGCGTCGCTGCTGTGCCTGGCCGCGTCGGTGCGCGACACGGGCGCCCAGTCCACCGGTACCGTGGCTGTCCAAGCGATTCCGGCCCCCACGGCCACGGCCAGCCTGACGCCCGTCCTGTCCATCGTCGCGTACATGGTGTTCGTCAACATCGGACTGGTCCCGTTGCCTTGGATCATGTCCGGCGAGGTGAGCACATATGATGGCGTTTCCGGTGACGTCCTTTGAGTTTAAACAAATATTCTCTCCGGATTATTCACCACTTTATGACTTGCCGGTTCATTATACACAACTATATCATATTTCACATACATCTCGTATTAACAAGCCGTCGACAAGTTAAAAAGTTATAACGTTAATTTCAAAAGCTTAAATATTTTTAACTAAATTATTTGCCTACGTTACGAGTTATTATTATTTTTTTTTTTAATCAAATTTCTCCGATACGTAAGTAATTATTTATCTATAAACACATTTTATATAATCACGTTTAGTTTTTTTCTAATACCAACGAATCCCGTTTAAAACATGTTTTGTTTACGAACAATTGTTTTTGTAGTAACAAAAATAAAAATAGAAAATAAATAAGCATAACATTATAATATTTTTATCCATATATGCATTGTAAATAAAAAATTAAAGGCTGCCGAAGTATTATGTTACGCTCAATTTCTACATTTTATAGGGATAAAAATAACTAATTTCTAACTTTATTTCCGTTTAACTTAAAAAAAAAAGAATTATAACTTTTAACTTGAATCTTAATTTATATTTTTCTATACTAACTAAACTTAACAAATTAAAAAATTGTATTAACTTTCTCAGCCGTGCACATAAGTAGCAATAAATAACGGTGTATTGTGAAATAAACACGCACTTGAGAAATTAATAATATTATAATTTGTTTTAAAAAAATAACGCAATATAATGTTCAAGAATATAAAAATAGATTAATGTTCACTCAAAATATGTTGATAAACAGAAAACAACATAATATTTTCTACGAACTCTTGCGATACCTATCAAATTTTGTATTCCCTTTTAACTGCATAAACTGAATACATGTGCAGAGTATATTAAAACCTAAATATTTACTCTCTACAATATTACCTATACTAGTATTATTATTCTGTAGTGATCATATTGTTAAGAATTTGTAAAGGGCTAAGAGCTGACTATTGTTGAATAAATTTTTATTAATGATCAGGACGGATGAAGAAAATGGACCCATAGTTATAAAGAATATGTTATATTATGTTATATAGCAATGACAATAATAATAGTTGTAGAATGTTTGTAACATTTACAGAGGATTTACTAATCATCATGATATTTTTAATGGTTTTCGACGAATGAGGCATAGAACGGAATCCCTTATTGTATGGATGAAAATATATTTTAAAAAAATTGTAAACAACATAGATAGCATAGATCTCCATAATAGGTGTAATAATATAATAATTCAAAATCCAATTGTCAAGAAAAACGTTTCCCCTACCTATTTCACTTGTATATTTTTAAAATTAATATTTCCAATATAAAAGTTATTATTATGTTTTACTAAGATAGTAAAAAGTATAATCATTATATAGATATACAATACTGCTATTACATTCCATAGCCACACAAATCATTTATTCTTACAGACGATAAACTCAAGCAAAAAAAAAAAGAAAGAAATGACGTACTAACATTTTATTGTTGTAGTCCGCATGAATTAATTTTTATTTCAATGCTCATTTGATATACTTTATCTGTTTTTACTGTGTTAAAATAACAACGACTGTGTGTATGTACAGATCCAATATGTGTTTGTTAATTACTGTTTGTGCGTGTTTTATATATTCATATAGTAACACTGTAATAATAATAATTTTATTTTACTCCCCAAACTATGAAAGCGAATATAAGTACTTACTATATATATTTCTCTAATTCTAATATATTTATGTAGTAAAACATTAATGTAACAATAAAACTACCTAAAATGAATTGATCTAATGAACTTAATAATTTATTTTATGATGTAAGAAGTCAAAATGTTTAATTTTATTAAAAAATCTGTTCGTGTTTCAAGGCTTCCGTGAGGCCTAAAATGATGATGTGAAATGAAAAAAGACAAGTTGTTCTAAATTAAAGTTATTATTAAAAGACAGCACACTAAAATACGTACCCATCTTAATAATTCGGGCAATATGTTTTATAGTTAACTAGATTATAAACAAAATAAAATGAATAATTGCGCTCGGTTTAAAAACTGGTAATATTCGAATAGCACTCAATCCTCCAATTTCATAGAAATCAAAGATAATTAATATTAGTTTTATTTGAAAAATATTTGTGTTTATCGATTAATTTTGTATTTAGACAACGTAAAAATTAATTTAGAAATATACTCAAGTACATATTTTAATATTATTATTTTTATATTGTTTAATTTTTTCAAAACTAATACATTTTTATTCCTTCATATATTTCCTAATAACGTTAGCTATTTACGCATGATTTTACTCACAAAAGCAATAACAACACGATTTAAATATTTAGAAAATATAAACTAGGTAAACTTATTTCGACTGTCTAATGATATTCGTTGATAAATAGATTTTGTGTAATGATCTTAACGGGTGCAATTCATACGATTAATTAGTTTCTGTTTAAACCTAGTGCAATTCTCACACTACCTTTTTCCGCGCCGAATGCAATTCCGACGTTTCCTCGCAAGTCACTTATTTCGTTATCGTTTTTTGCTGCAGATGTTTCCTGGATATTGCCGCGAACTCGGCAGCGGCCTGTCCACGTGCTTCGGGTTCTTCATGTTCTACACGGTGATCCAAATCAGCCCCTATATGCTGACCAACATCGGCACGTCGATGACGTTTTACATTTTCGGCACTGTGTCTGGCGTCGGTGCATTGTTTCTATATCTGTGTCTACCGGAAACCAAAAACAAGTCATTAGAAGACACGACGTAACAAATCACAGAATAAACGGTAACGGTTTTAAACAAGAACACACGTAATGTTATTGTATTGTTTCTGGACGGAACCGCGGACGACAACGATCGGACATAGACGTTGTTTAAGCGTTTGGCCGGGAGATCTCACCCGGTGTATGTTGTTGTTCGAGTCATCAGAAATAAACGATAATAATATTACCACTTTATAATATATTAGCCGTTCAACGATAGATTGTTATTATAATAATATCCTCTTCATATATTTTGTGTGTTATATATTCTAAAAGTAGACGATAAATGTAAATTATTATATAAATGCATGCGCCTACGATAGTATTTTATATTACTCATTTTACATAAGTGTGCCATTATCATATATACATGTACATTATTTAATATTAAATATAATATACATTACTGGTGTTGTGAATTGTTTAGATAAAAATAATTTTAAGTATCTTTTTATACATGTATCTATTTAAATAAAAATGTTATCCGAGATAAAATACTTGACTGATTTTTAGTGACAAGGTTTTTAATTTTGTTTTTATATATAATTTTTGAGAAGCGCAGTTATTTTTCCAAGCTATTGCTTGTAGCCTTTTAGTCATTTTAATTTTTCAGTACATTTATTTATTACGTGTGTCTCAGTGTAGTAATTTTGTGACAAGTTTATTCTTTATTCTTTGTACACAATGATGGATAACCGTATTTAAAAATGTGAAAATTTAAACTTATATATTATTATATTTAAAGCAAAGCTGATAATTGCTAGTCTTAAATTATCTGATTTTATCTAGTTAAATTTGATTATCTTTTATCTTATATAGATAAATATTGGGTTATTTTTATACTCAACATTAAAGAAGATTTTAGATGATAAATGGTAATAGTTTACTTAGAATAGTATTTATTTTATTAGAAGTTAGCATTAAAATAATTAATATAAATTTATCATTTCAATAGCGCTATAAGTGAAACAAAATCTATTTAGGTAAATTTTTTTTATACTTTATCTGGACTGCCGTTTACGGATAAATCATTCCTGAACATAACGACACCATACCGCCGATATTCTTGTCCGGGAGATTACGCTACGAAAGATGCGTATTACAATACTATATACTAGTACATATAAAATAATAAATTACATATTGTTTAGAAAATAATAGAAATCATTTGAACATATGTCGAGAGAAAAACAACATATCTTATACCGCGTTTATTATTCGAAATACTCGTAATCACTTTTCTATAAAAATTCAAATCTATTTTTGAAATTCACAAGATAATCTTTCCTCAAAACCAAAATCACACATAAACGCAAAAAATTCGTATTTTTAAACCTGTCCTATTAAAATAAAAATGTTATGAAAAACATTTTTATATTTTAATACGTTTCCATTCTTGTATAAATAGTGCCAATAATCACTAAAAAAATTTCAGTTTTCATTTTTTCAATCCCAGTGAAATTAATTTCATTAGGGCTCAAATTGTTATTATGTGATGTGAATTTCTGTTTTGATTTTGTATGTTGGAGAAGAAAATGACTCACTACCACATCGAATTTTGGCTTCTTCTAAAAATATATGAAATGATTTCTCATATTTTGAATATAATCTTTCAATGAACAATATAGAGATATAACTATACATCAATCAATATTTTCTGATTGTAATGTTTAAAAAGTAGTATCAAACCGTTTTAAAATCGGATTCCACAATATAGATAATAAAAACGAAAATTCTAAACTATTTAATTTTTTATAAATTAAATGAGCTTCATGGCGTATTCCATGTCATTGGTAATTATCTAAATATATGTAATGATATGCTCACATATTGTTTATTACATATACATAAAATTCAATTAAATAAATTAACGGTAAGTTGCCGCACGCAGATTAAACCCTACAAACATCCTTTTGCCACTGATGAAAGAAAACGACTTATATTATATGATCACAAAGGAATTAACACATGAGTTATGACAATATCTCGAAAAGCGTGTGAACCAATTTCGTTAGCCAGCGGAGGCGGGCCATGGTACAATGAAGCTCTCTGTCGTATAGAAGAAAGACTATTTCTTCGAAAAAACGTTGAGTCCTTTTTATGATGGCATGGCCTGCGACTCTGGCTGGCTCGACCAGGTCGTCTTCTCCCCCAGTGCACGAGCACCAGCCAAGCCACGAGTGCATGAGCACCGGCAAAAATTACGAGTGCGGGCGCACCAGACAAACGAGCAGGAGCTTTATCCCAAAACCACCATACGACATACACACAAGACTCTGCGAGCGACAACTGGACTTCTTTCTTTTTCTAATTTAAATCAGTGTTGTTTTTCTTATTTAAACATAAGTTTTCCTTAAACCGTATCGTAACTTGTGTCACCTTATACCTTTCTCCGAGGAACGTACTACAAATATTCACTGCCGCGAATCAGGTAAGGTGCATGTCTAAAATACTAATTGTTAGTACAGGTTATGTTACTATCTAATTTGTGTAACGGTGTATTTGATCACATTCTTGAATCACGATCTTGAGAACCCTCCGAAAAACAGGAAGAAGGTAATAACACGAGAACAAATATACTCAATATTTATTAATACCGGACTTACATACAAGGCTTGTGTCCCTTGTGTCAGTCCGGCCGCATCATACTTATAACTTTCATCGCACCATTTAATATTTTTATATTTATACGTTAGCTTCACCTTTTTAGTGTTATTACATATATTTCTTCTAACTAACGACTTGAGTATATCTTTGAATTATTTATTAAGAGATTTAAAAACGTCATATCTTTAAGATCCCCATGTTTTAGATAGATTTTTTATTGTTAACGAATCTGAACTTTAAAAAAAAAAATTTATAAAATTTCCCAACGACTAGTTAAACCAAAAAAGAAGTTATATATCATTTAAGTGTTATAAAAAAGCAAGTCCACCTCACTAGTAGCTTATAGTAAGTACTTAGGTAGTCTTTTATTCTATGAATTGTAAATCGTAATCGAAAACTATAAGACGATAATATTAATATCATCAACATCTTGGTTTCGTTCTAATGTATAGTGTGAATTGTCGCTCTATCTTTTTATGTGATCATTAATATGATTTTCAAAAATTTTACAACAAAAAGCCTCGAAAACCGTTTTTTTATGCAATATCTAGGTGAAGGAATAATTTTTGAATTTCAAAACTTCATATTTACCATTAGATGTGAATATTTGATTCGTGTAATTATATGTATCGTTCAATAATTATTATAGGAATTAAACAATTTACAATATTTTAAGTAGAGTTGAATGAAAAATACATAGTTAATATTGAAATGATTTAAACTTATTTTTAAAAATTTTCTTAGGTATTGAACTAAAAAGAAATATTTATAAAAACCGTTGTTACATTTTATTTTTTAAATAGTTAGTTTAAATCTTTTGCTGTCTTTCAAAATTTGTGGCATGGAGCAAATACTCCTTTTGCACCTGGGTTAACGCGGCCCCATCCTCACCTCACAAAATCAAAATCGCACAGAGCAGTAAGAAATACAGATTTCCGGCCCTACGTCTATCATAGTAAAAATTAACATTTTCACAATTATTTTTTTACGAATATAATTTGTACGCCACACCCAACTCTAATATGTTCTGTGCTACTATATACATTCAGTATTATAACTATACATAGCCCGTACAAAAAGTTCATCAAATGTGATACTTACCCATATCAGTTAACTTATGTGTAATTACTTCTCAGTTATCGGTGTTATCAACAACAGCTTCAAATCGTATCCAAAATATTTTTCCCGAAGTGTCTCGACGCACCATCAAGTTTTAACATTAGTCGGCGTCTAAACTGCGCTGTGACTGTCTGACGCTATAGTGAAAACGTATTTTTACGTGTATATACATTGCACAGTCGCACAGACTAAAATATATAAAATGTACCCATCTAAAAATAATATATATTTACAGTTAAAAACACGTTATACGATATATTTATAAATTAAAACTTATAGCATAGTTCATAGATAAAAGTTATATAAGCACAAAATTCCAAAAGATTCGCCATTTGAATTTTCAGTTTAGGTCCTTCAATTTGCTTAAATATATTATAATTACTTATAAGTTATTACATATCAACTTGTTAAAAATTCCTGGATATGTCACTGATTACGGCACTCTGTGTATGCAATGTCGATACATTTACAATATAGCCGGCAACATCGGTCGTAATAAAGTTTATCTTATGTAATTTATATTATGTACTAAACTATATATATTCAATAGTATTATTAAATCATTATACTTTCCGTCTATGTACAAACGATAACCAAATAATATAAATAGACAAGTGTTTTTTACTATAATAATATTACGGCAAAACTGTTTGGTTCTCCACTTGGGAATCAGTCAGCCGACAGATCGCGCTAATTGATAGTTTTCTTATTTCTTACTTTAACACTTTAACAGCATTATTTTTTTTTGTGTTATTTTTTCGTACAGAATAATTAAAAAAAAAAAAAACTCAAAAGTTAAAATTCATAACTTGTTTATCATCATATTTAATTTATAATATAAAACGTGTCCTTAAACTAAGTTTCCAATTAACTGAGAAAATTTAAATATGCTCCAAATTTCAAAAAAAAATTGATGAGTTTCTTCAAACCTTCTGTAATAGCAACTAATTTCAGAGGACCCAGTTAGTAATTACGGTAGTAACATCAGTTTCACTTCTGTACAGCTCTCTACAAGGATTTAATGTCAACATACTCAAGGTAAAATTAAATGTTGGTACATTTTTGATTTTTTTCTAACACAAAGCAACTTACTTTTTAATTTATAGTCGATTATATAATTTTTATTGTATAAATTAGGTATGATAATTAATACTATGATTATAAATAAGTAATAACTATAACCTATAATATTGGCCGGTTAAGTATAATGTAATATACTATATTTTCTGTTTATTAGGCTGGTATCGTTTAGATGTACTTTTTAAAACTTGTAAAATTACTGAAACTAATCTTAGCAGTTTTATCATAGATTTTTCTTTTATATACATTATTATAGAATAACACTCATCTGTGTAAAAATATAACGAATAAAATAAGTGAAAAGTAATTGCCACTCCGCCGTAAAACGCAGAATAAGTTAGATTTATATAATATAGACAGCTAGAGACTTAAGCCATTGCCATAATTATATATGTACATAATATAATTATATTATTGTATAGGCGCACGTGACA